ATTATTAAACTTTGAATTAAATCTTCAACTTTAGCATATTTTCTGTATATGACCAATTTTTATAAAAAAATTATCTAAAATTTCTTTTCTATCTTGTAACAACTAACAGACTTAAAAAAAAAATACATTATGCATATGACTGGGTTTTTTTTTTTTGGGCATACGACTGGAATTTAAAAAATGATTATACAAGATAATGTGTATTTATATTCAGAAAAATAATTATTTACAGAAGAAGGACCAATATAGTTTGTGTGCAGCAACTGAGAAGATGTATAATAAATAATAATATTATGGCGAAGCCTCTTGTTGTTGTTTGTAACGAAATGGGAATTGCTTTCTTGTCTTCTTCATCTTACCTATATTCTAATCAATTACACAACATAATAACATGCATGTAATTAATTAATTTTATTAGCAAGGTTTCTTCTTAGCTGTTATAGTTCGATTGAAAATGTTATACAGTATAAAATATATGCATATACTGTTTCTTTTATTAAACAAAATATTTTTATTTTTATTTTTTATAAATATTTTTATGTGTAGCAATTAAATGAACAGTTTCATTATAGAAGTGACTCTAAAGCGTGAATTGAACTAAGAGTTCACACGAGTTTCGAGACTTCTTTTACTAAATTCGGATAAGCTCTGATGTATATGTATATACAGACACTCTTCTTCATCTGTTTTTTTTGTTACTACTATTTACTACTCATATTCTTATATATATAGTGAATCAATCAAACATGAAAATAGTGTCGATAACATTAATGGTTACTAGTATAATTGCAAACAGTGCACACAGCTAACACAACGGATACAAATCGGAAGAGTTAGGTGGCTGATTTTTTTGTTGTACTCTATTCCTTCTCCAACGGATCATTTTATTAGATTTCCATTTTTCATTTGAACAAAAGAAAATATATTTGGTTTTGAACGTTTTGTTATAGTCATTTCTATACTTTAACTTTTAACGCCAATTATTTATATCAAAAGAAATCTTTTCATATATATTAGATGCATCTAAATTGAAGTATATATCCAACTAACCACTACAGTATTTATAAATTTTTTTTTATAATTTTCATGATCTATTTACTTCTTCTAATTATATTAGCCAAAAAATAAAAAACTTTGAAAGATATATAAATAAAAAGACATAAATTTTATATACTCTCGCTAAAACCATGATGCATCCCACCTAACCTAACACTTGTTAGTTGTTGTTACACACCAAAGAAAAATCGAAAAAATAAACTTATCCAAGCTGTACACAAGTTTTATATAAATCAGACACACGTAAAATAGAAATATTTGGTCAAAGTTTGACCATCTTGGAATCGGTAAAAAAAAAACTTCACTTCACTCAGTCAAAGGTTCCACTTAGATGGGCACCAAGCCCCAAACAAATCTAACACATGCCACAGACTATATGGTCACAGTAAATTATTTATTCTAAATTTTTTTTTTTTTGTTACTATTATGGAAACTTATCTTAGCTAGCTAGTAGTGTGATGTTGTAGTGTATGATACCATAATTCCATTTTTAAAATATCATATAGAATAATATAATGTCTTTTTTGGATTGTAACGAGTTAGGCAGAGGTGGAGCGTCTTCTTCTTCTTCTTCTTCGTTTCTGAGGCAATCCAGCCTTTTCGCACGTGACCGACGCTCCTCCCCCTGTAGTTATTGTCACGTGCGCCATCATTCCACCATCGAATTGTTTTTTTATATTTTCTTCCTCATCATACAAAATTCTTAGTGTTATGTCTTTCTTGTCCCGTTAGAGAAGTTTCGTGACCTTCTTGCCCAAGTAGAGGGACCGAGTTCCTTTGGTTTTGTTGCTATGACTGTGAATAGACTTACAAATTCACCTCGAAAGGAATCATAAGTAGATTAGCAAAATAATGTCCCTAACGTGTTAGGTATCCTACATTTGTTACTTCATTAACAATGTGATCAGATTACACTAAACATTTGGTTACTAACTCTATTTTACTTTTTAATGAGTCCATTATGTTCAAATTATAGGACCGTTTCTCTTCTCTCATTTGATATGTTACTAATACAAACATTTTTATTTTTCGCAAAATAAATTTCTATTAAATTTGTTAAATAGACCACAAAAGTCTTTGATTCCTTATCATCAACAAAGGGAAACAATCATGGGAAAATAAAGCACATGAGAATAAAAATAACTTTGTTTCACCGAAAAATTATCTACTTACTATAAATTAACATATAAATTGTTTTCTTTTTGTGCACCTATAAATTGTTTGAAGTGATAAAAAATATATAATGTATACAGCAAATACATCCGCATCGTTACTAATTCCGGTCAATCTTGGAAACTGCATCACATCTTTTAAAATTCAATAGTTATTAATATGCATTTTCAAGTTATTGCACTTTTAATAAACTGTAGTAGGTAATGGAGTTTTTTATATAGATAAATTAATTTATATCCGACTGTTTTTGTGAGAAATCGGCCCTTCTTCTTAATTTCATAGATAATGTAATCGTTGTAGTATACACATAGAAATGCACAATAATACAAGTCAGAACTTTAATAAAAGAAAATAATATAGAAAATACGTAAATGAAAGAACATTACTTGTATCAAGGGGGAGATCGAACAAATGCTGATACTTCACTAACATACACATAAAAGTTGCAGATTTTGGATCTTGCGTCTTCTTGGTTTTATACCCTTTCCCTTACACCTCCTCTTATATATACTACTATATATTAAATCTTATAAGTATGATGAAATTTTTATTATCTTTATATAGTCTGAATGACTCGGCTCCAAAGCCATGCGCCCAATATAATATAAACAAAAGTATTTTTGAGAAAACAATTAGGGAAGGGAAACCTCTATGTCAATTAAAGGGACCAGAAACATATAAAGATGGGAGCCTCATTTGCGGATTCATAAATAAATATTTATCCTATTTTTAATACCAAAAATAATTTATTTTTTAGTATTAAAAATATAGAAGTACTAATTAGTAATTTTATGTGTATGTTAGTAAACATAACACATAGTTAGGAAACATATCACGTAATTGTATTTTTAGTATTAAAAATAAACTTAACAATATAGAAGTAATTAGTACTTCTATATTGTATATAGTATAACTCCACTTTATTCAATTGGATAATCAGTATATTTATGTTTCCACTAAATTCATAATTAATCAATACAGTATATCCAGTTAATCAGTACATTTAAGTTTCCACAAAATTCATACGAAAAGATGAATTATAATTAAGTTTTGCTTAACAATAATATAGATTCTAAGACAAAGGAGATGAAAATATGAAATGATAGATCGGAACGGTTGGTTCAGGAAGATAAAAAAACAAATAAATCAATGATTCATCATACATCGGATCCTGCCATCAATTTTCTTGTTCGCATCAAAAACTCAAAAAGGGTACCAAAATCTCAATTTGTATAGTAGTTTAGTAACTATACTCATATAGTCTATATATTTCGTACCTACGATCTATAATACACGTATCAGCAGGATACGTACATCTACTGCTCTCATCTTATCTACTTATAAATCTTTACATATATAGTTCGTGTCTCGTAACACCTACATGAGTCATGCTATATATTACTAGCTCACCTAACATGGAAGTCATTTACTCGTTACCGTGTGTAAAATATAAACAAAACAAAAAAAAATTGAGGAAAAAGATTTACAAATAAGAAATAAAAAATTGAGTCATAATTGCAAGAATGTGTAAATGGCGACTTAGCATAAGAAGAGCTGAGAAGATTTTTAATGTAGCGATTAGTGGGAATGGTATGGTGTTTTCCCCACTAATTCAGTTTCAATTCGGAAACAAGTTAAAACTTTAATTTTCGTCCATTGAAGATGAGTTTCTAGGTCGCTAATTTAATTGAACTAAACCAATAAGTGGAAAACAATTCCTCTGTTTTTATTTTCACTATTGTGTTTAAATTAAAGTACATATGAACTCAAACTTGTTGAAAATAGATTTCCACTTTTATCTTAGAAGTTACCACAAAAGCAAACAAGGGAGAGGGAGAGTACGTGGAATACACTAATGAGAAATGTTAATAAGAACGTTGCATTTGGAATGTGATGTTACTTTCTGCACTGAATGAATTTTTCAATGGGATCATTATCATTCTTTTCTTAACTAAATGATTGATATAAAATTCAAAGGGATCCTATAAAAAGTCTGATCTCAGATATAGCAAAAAAAATTCAAGTTTAGTGTCTTAGTAAGTTCGATGAGCCAAATCAATGACTTTCTAATACATGCAAGTCTCACTTCCACACGAATAAGTTCTACGCACTTTGCCATTTCCTGGATCAAGTAAGAAGCAACATATATAACACTAGATGATACAAACTACTAGAAAATAAAAATTTATATTTTGAATATGTTGTCTACTTGTCACGAATTAAGTTGCGTATACCTGATCAAACCATATTTAGCCTATACCACACATAACACATTCATATATGAATGAACACCTTTTCGTATTCCAAACACATTCTTTAGTATTTATTTCTATCAATAACCTTAAAAACATAGGTTCTGTAAATATTTATCCCCGAAAAAAATAAAAGGTTGTGTAAAATATAATTCAAACTAATACAACACTATTAGGCAAAACAAGAGAGGTTATTTTTATTTTATAAAATAAGAAAATCATAATTGACTAGCTAGCATCAAAAAGTCTTCAAACACAAGTTACACTGCTGGAAATAAAAGAAAGAAAAAAACGAGTAATCATTCCTATAAAATACGTGATTTATGCGTCGACCTAAAATAAAAATAAAAATTAGAAAGTGATTAACATATATACTATAGGTTAATGAAGGAAAATAAAACGCAAATTACAAAGAATAATACAAGATTTTTAATTTAAATGTAACCGCTAAATAACGCCCCCCTCTCTCTCCCCCACTTATTTTTGGCGGCACCAGACGCGGGAGACTCTCTCTCTCTCTCTCTCCTCACTCTCACCCCTCTCTCCTCTCTCTCCCACTCTCTCTCTCTCTCTCTCTTTTCTTTGTTTTTTCGTCACTCCTCTAAAATCCCAAATCGAGTTATGGAAATATCAAATACTTCGAAGATTTAGCACCCAACAAAAAAAAAAAAAAATCCTAAATTCACTGCGATAACAAAGCAGCTCTTCTGATATTACAAAAACAAAAGAATAGGGAAGTTTCCATTTTTATAAATCCCATTGATGTGTACGGACACACCACCGAAGAAGACTTGTTCTATCTCCTCCTCCTCCGCCGCCGTCGTCTTCTTCATCATCGCCGCCGCCTTTAAATGGGTGAGCCCAGTGACAGCATCGCTCTCTCTAATCTCCTTCTCTGCCACGAATCCGAGTCTTCTCTAAACGAAGACGACGAGAGGATTGAGAGATCTGAGCAAGAAGCTCACTTTGCTACTACGATCGATGATGAAGATTATGTGGCAGAGCTTGTTCGTAAAGAGAATCAGAGATTCGATACCCAACCCAGTAAAACGTCGTCGTCTCTCGATAGATTGGTTGCAATCAATTGGATTCTCACTGTCCGTAACCCGAACCCTCTTTTGTGTTTCTTACTCTCAATTCACTCACTGTCCGTCCGTAGTCTCTCACTTGTTTGATTTGGTTTTTGTTTCCTTGTTTCAGACAAGAACAAGATTCGGATTCCAACATCAAACAGCTTACATTGCAATCTCATACTTCGATCTGTTTCTCCATCGAAGATTCATCGGTGTAAGTTTGTTTCGATGATGATTTCCACAATTCCTCAAATAAAAATCTCTCCTTTTTTGTTCAGATTGATAATTTCGCAATCTGATGATCTAAAGATCGTAACTTTTGATTAGCTGCAGAGTGATGAATCATGGGCGATTCGATTGTTATCAGTAGCTTGTTTATCCTTAGCTGCTAAAATGGAGGAACGGACTGTTCCTGGACTGTCACAATACCCGCAAGATCATGACTTTGTTTTCAAACCCGATGTGATTCGCAAAACTGAATTGTTGATCCTATCGACATTGGATTGGAAGTTGAACTTGATCACTCCTTTTCACTACTTGACCTACTTCGTTGCTAAAATCTCTCCGGACAATAACAACCAATCTGTTTCTAAAGAGTTGGTCTTGTTAAGATCCTCTGAATCTCTTCTTGCTCTAACTAAAGGTAGTGTATCTATTTACCACATTTTCCTCTCAAAGATGGTCAGTTTCTGTCAAAGCATTTATTGAAATCACATTTTTTTCCTTTTTTATAGAGGTAAGGTTTACGGATTATAGACAGTTCGTTGTTGCTGCTGCTACTACAATGTTAGCTTCTTCTTCTACTTCATCGGTTATTAGATTAACGAGAGAGGAAATGGCCAACAAGTTTGGATCCATCTCTTGGTGGACGTCTACTGAGAATGTATAAATCTTGTGTGTGTCTTTTGTGGATTCGATTGTTTGATGTGAAGATCATAGTCTTAGGAATGTGTGTGTGTTTTTTGCAGGACAATGTATATTTGTGTTATCAGAAAATGCTAGAGATTGAGGAGAGGAAACATATGACACCACCACCGCAAACAGCGGTTTCCCGCGATATACAACCGCCGGCATCAGGAAGCGGCGCTAAACGCCGATTGTCTTTCGATGATTCTGATCAAACTGATCCAGCCAAGAGAATCCGTAGGCTCTGAGGAGAAGAGAGTTTTCTTTCTTCTTGGAGTTTTTGCCTTATATTGATTTGGTTTCTCTTTTTCTTCTTCTTTTTGGCAACATATTTATTTGGTTTTTATATTCAATCATTTGATTATAGAGGAAAAAAATGGCCTGAGAATACAATGGTTATTTCAGTTTTTATGAAGTAACTCATATAGTATGATGATGAAGGTCTTTGATCTGATGATCGTTTTTTGGGGTGGAATGTGACTATCAAAACATTAGTGGGGGGTTATCTGAGAGAATTAAGGAAATATGAGGGGTGAATGTAAATAAAGAAGAGAAACAGAAAGGGTGGAATAGGTTTAGGCCAATAGCTGCAGTGCCAGTGATTTGGTTTCATCCTCTTTTTTAATTATTTATTCTCTTTCTTTTTATTTCTTATGTTTTTGCATTTTTTTCCATGTGATTTTACAATTCTTTTTTGTCATGGAAATTATCTGTTATTTTTTATTATTATTATTACATGAAAGGTACATTGTTTTCATCCCTTAACTTTGAATGAACAAATGAAGAAACTCATTTTATTTTGAAGGTAAAATATATGTATAATATATTTGGTAGGTTTGTTTTCTTTATCATTATTGACACTTTGAGTCATCTCCAAACTCCAAAGTGAATCCATCTGTATGCTACTTACTTAACATGTTTATGTACATTCCAAAGTCCTTTGTGATCTTTTTCGAGATATGATGAATGGCTTAGAAATATGCAAAAATAAAGAATTATCAAATAAAAACTTATTTCTTGTTTGGAGAAAACATCGTTACTTATCTCGTATATAGTACTAACTAAAGTTAAAAAATAGAAACCCCAAATAATACCTTTATCAAATTACAATCAGTCGATAAAAATAATCTAAAAATAACATTTTTTATTTGTAGCATTTAGAAACCAACAACTTGTAGTGGAAGCACTTTGAATCAAATTGTTGGATCTAAAGATAAAGAAAACCCTAATTTATGTACAGAAAATTGCATGTGATGTTTTTAAGTTACCGTACTTGTCTACACGCAAGTCAAAAGAGAATCGTACTCGTACATATATAGATTTTTTTTTTCTTTTTAATTTTGAGATTGTATAATAAATGTTTGTTTTTTAATTTTATTTTCAATGGAATGCAGTTGGAAAAAAAAAAGAAGAAAACATATATATAAACAAAAAAAAAAGGAGTAAAGAAAACAAATCCAACGACTTGTTTAAGTGAGCAACAACTGTCTCATACAATACACAACTTGAGGGATCCAAAGTTTGGTATCATTAATTTAACGCTTTTAGTTCCAAAATGATTAGCAACGAATTAAAAGAGTTATTACCAAATACGAAAACAAAATCTTACAAATTAAGAAGAAGCATCGTGTATTGACAGAGAATATAATCAAAGATAATGTGTGTGTGGTTTAAGCCTTAAGGCCAATGTTATTGTTACTCTCTAAGAGATGTTGGCAACAAACTAAAAGTAAGCATAAATCACCAAGAGCTCTCACTAATAAATGAATGCTTCTGAAACTATTTTGTTGCCTATCTTTCAATTTTCAATATTTGTAGGTCCCTATTGTTTATTCTTATTATCATTGAGTTAAACCAATTTTTTTTTGTTTCTTTTGGGTTTTGTGTAGACATGAGAGATTCACGGGTAACACAATTTAAGTCACAACTCTCACATTGGTTTTGAGATGGTAAGATTGAAAGATCATCACAAGATATAAGTAAATCCTAGACATTGGTCGTTTATTTTTATGAACATTTCTTCACACGATCACAAATCTAATGTTCATATAAAGATTAAAAATTTTACCTATATTTAAGGCAAATGGATGGCTTCATAGAGATCTTAAGTTTTTGACCACATTAAAATGGTTCTTTCTTAAAGAAGAGTTTTTGAATTGTTTTTTTTGGAAGTCAGTTTTTGACTGATGAGATATGATGTCAGGAGAAGAGGCTCCCACTAAAAGCCATGACTTCATTTTGAATTTTTGAGAGATTTTTCTTAAGTTACAGTCTGGGGCTAGCTAACAATTTTGTACCCAAATAAATCATTTTAGCTTTTAGCCTTCCTCTGTTTTTTTTTTCTTATGTCCTTTTCTGTATTTTTGCATTTGTCATTCAATAGAGAGAGACTTAAATTTAGATGCCAAAACGAGAAAAAGAGAAGTGTCATTTCAAAGAAACAGACTGTTTATACAAAAATGGTGGAATCAGAAAATCAGATGTTTGTCCTTAATAGCCCCTAGTAATCAAAATGAAAAAAGTCAACAATGAAAAAAAAAAAAACAGAGTAATTGCAAAAGGCAATAACTTTGTTTAAAGACTTTTACTTGTTTCTAAACTTGAGGATTCACTGTCTACTATAGAGAGAGAGATCTTTAAAGAGATCAAACGGGAATCGTCTTCAACCCTGCAGCGATTGGCATACCCAAGAAACCTACCAAGATACTGAAGATCCATTGCACTATTGTCAGTGGTGTTGTGCTTGCAAATGAGCCCAAGAACTCGATGATTATGATCTGAAAGAACACCGTTGCACCAATCACAACCACAAAGACGTAATTGTCTAGTATCCCTTTGAAAACATCGATCTCTTCCATCTCTCGCGAGCTTATCTCGTTAAACACCTGGAATTTTCAAGAACCAAAGTCATGTCAATTGTCAAGAATCTATCTTTATATAGCTCGAGGATTCTTTATCGTGTTTTCGTTGTTCTTTACCTGACAGAAGACGAAGCAGTTGAAGATAAGAGTGTTTAACATGAGAGTTGAGTCAGGACCCTCAAGACCAAACATGGACTTCCCTTTGGCTTGGAGAATCCAAATGACGATGAATTGGTAAACAGCTTGTCCTAAAATGTTCCTCCACATTGCATTAGTGATGAAATTCCCTCTCCTTCCAACGGGTAAACGCTTCATCAGCTCGTCATTTGGTGGCTCTGTAGCTAATGCAAGAGCTCCTAGTGTGTCCATAATCATGTTCACCCATAGCAATTGAACAGCAGTCAAAGGAGCACTTCCTGAAGATTATTATAAAGAGCTATGTTAAACTAGAAATCCAAGATTATTATAGATTGAATTAATATTCTTACTCAGCTCACCGGTTAAACAAGCTGAAGAGAAGTTAACAACCAGAGCAACAACATTAACCGTAAGCTGAAACTGAACGAATTTCTGGATGTTAATGTAAACAGAACGTCCCCATTTAGCAACTGTGACGATGGTGCTGAAATTATCGTCGAGAATGATGACATCGGCACTCTCTTTCGCCACCTAAAAGGTTATAAGGAAAGAAACTTATTAGAATCTTTAGCTCACAAATGAAAGTAATACAAACTAACATACTCACTTCAGTTCCGGCAATTCCCATTGCTAATCCAATATCAGCTTCATGAAGTGCAGGTGCATCGTTTGTTCCATCTCCAGTCACAGCAACAACTTCATCAAACGTTGTCCTTAACTGTTTCACAAGTGTATGTTTATCCATTGGCGAAGAACGAGCCATCACCTGTAAAACAGAAAGGAAAGGTTTTGTTATATGGTTTCCAAAACTTAACAAAAAAGTCAAGTCTTTTGTTTCAGAAACAGTTAAGTACCTGAATCTTTGGAATCAGTTCTAGTAACTCTTCTTGGTTCTTCTCTCTGAACACGGGACCTTCAATTGCTATACCGTCATCAGTTAAAATGCCACATTCTCTAGCAATTGCTTTCGCGGTGTTAATGTTATCTCCTGTAACCATTCTCACAGTGATTCCAGCACGGCGACAAAGCTCAACAGATTCTTTGACTCCAGGACGAACAGGATCTTTGATTCCTACGATCCCTACGCAAGTAAATCCAGAAGCTGGGATTGCTTCATCCGGGGAAAACCCGCCTTCAATATCCATATAAGCAAGGCAGAGAGTGCGGAGAGCTTCATTAGCAAACTCGTTGATTGTAACATTCAGATACTTGATTGATTCTTCATCTAGAGGAACAACCTCACCGCTCGAGTTTACAACTTTATCACAAGCGGCTAAAACTATCTCAGAAGCTCCTTTCGTGTGAGCACGCAGACTGCCTCCCTCAGGAAGCTCGATTACAACTCCCATTCGCTTCTTCGTGGAGTTAAAAGGCTCAACTTTGATCACCTTGTAAGACTTCCTCTCTTCTTGGAACTTACCTCCAAGAGATAAACCAAACTCCAATATAGCAGTCTCTGTTGGCGTCCCCAAAAGCTCAGTTTTCCCATGTTTGTTGACAACAACTTCACCTCCCGTGTTATTGAAAATCGACTGAATCAACAACTTCACAGCAGATTCCGGGATATCTGACTGCAAGCTAGAACCTTTATTTGCTACATCTTGCACATTCATGCAAATGCAAGACTTCACGACAGTCATGTGATTGGTTGTGAGTGTACCAGTCTTGTCGCTGCAAATGGTCGTCGCTGATCCCATAGTCTCACAAGCTGCTAAATGCCGGACAAGAGCTTTATCATTCATCATTTTCTTCATTGCAAACGCAAGACTAAGAGTCACAGCTAAAGGCAATCCCTCAGGAACTGCAACCACAACGATTGTCACAGCAATAGCAAAGTACTCCAAGAGCTCCAATGCTTCATCACCAGACCAGATCCAGTGAGTTCCTGTTGAAAGCTTCCTCATAAACATCCCTTGCACCAAAACTGCAAAAGTAACCACCGCAAAGAAGAGACCGATTTTGCCAATGATGGTAGCAACTCCATTGAGTTTCACCTGCAATGGAGTTTCATCATCCCCTCCTTCAGTCAAAGTCGCCATAAGCTTTCCCCACTGAGTCCTCATTCCAACTGTAGTAATCAACATCTTACAAGATCCATCTTGCACTTTGGTTCCAGACATAAGGAAAGGGTTCTGCGCATTCACCATCACAGGCTCGCTTTCGCCAGTCAAACTGGATTCATCTATAACCACAGAGAATCCCGAGAGGAAAAGACCATCAGCAGGAACTTGATCTCCAATCGCCAGATGAACAATGTCACCAGGAAGCAAGTCATATATAGACAGTTTCTGTCTAAACCCGTTCCTTGTCACTTGAACAGTGATCTTCTTCTTTTCCTT